TATTTTCGAAAGAAGGCCCTTATTGTAAATCCTTGATATAATTATTTTGCAAAATTTTAATGTATTAATAATTTTAAATAAAGTAACGTTGTTTTGTAAGTTTTTAGAGATCAAGAGAGATTGACAGGTCTAACTTATTTGCAAGGACTTCTTGCGTTATGTTTTTTCAATAAGTTGCCAGATTTTCTGATAAAACAAGTATTCAATGTGCGATTTTTGGAGAAATTGGATTTGGAATTAAAAAAATGCAGCATCACGGTATGTTCAGTTAAATCTGCAGTTGTATGTATATGATATATACAACACATTAACTTGTAGGATATGTATCCTTTGAGAGTAAGATCGAATTTGTTTGATCTTAATAGAGCTGTATGCTTGGAATATCCCGAATCTAATGTACCTTGGTTTCATCAGAAATTTCTAGATAAAGATATTAAAAAAAATAGTAAGTAATTTTGGTTTAATCAAAATTTCTTGTATATAGTAAATAAACTAAACTATTTTTTGTGATATTTATTTGGTTATCAAAAAGGGCACCGACTAAATATTAACGAATATATTTTGGAAGTAGTGAAAAATAGAAAAGCATTTGAAGAGAATGTTATAACACCATATGGATACCTTGTAGATTTTGTTATTCACTTGGATAATACTAGCGCTTTTGCGGAAACGACTGCCAGTTATAAAAAGTAAGTAATCATAATCAGTAAATATATCTACAATAAATTTAAGTAGTCGTTTAGTTAAAAAAAAAAGAAAAAGCAATGCCGACTTTCCGCTGATCACCACCAATGACTAACAATAAGTTTCAAATACCGTAATAATAAAACTATTTATAGTGTAACTTAAATGCATATTTGTTTATTGTAATATTTAATATTCTTTATAGATTAGCAGTTTTACTGCATATGCCTTATCATTTTACCAAAATGAATATACAATTAAAAGGACCAGAAAAACTAAAAGTTAGACATTTAGAACTGCTGGGTTACGATGTTGTTGGAATCAATTTTAATATATGGAATAAACTACTGACTACGGACGAAAAAATTGCTTATTTGTCCAAAGTCATATTACCAAAAAGTTCCGAAAAAAATATTTCACTAACTAGCTGATTGAAAATAGTGTAAATGTAATTAAACCTCTTTTTAGCGATAATAAAAATTTTTACAGTATACATTAACATTTTTCAATAAAAAAGCAAAGTTCAAAATCCCATATAAAATCATTTAAAAAAATTGAAATGCGTTTCCACACCCAAAATCTCACCATCAGTTTTCAGACTTTCCATGCATACGGTAGTGGCCTAGCATTATAATTATTAGTATGCTATTCACATTATGCGGGGTTTCCGTTATGCGATGTTCACACCAGCGAGTGAGGTTCCGCCGATGCTACAGTTTCCGAAAATAAATAAAAAAGGCCGTCATAGAAATATGAATTTACCGAATGATGCTAATTTTTTTGTTGAAAGAGCAATAAATAATAGCGACCTGAAACATATTTGACGTTATCTAACTTTCATAAAATTGATAAACAATAATGAGGTCGAAATCTACTTCCCGAATATTGCCACTTCATTATTTAATTTTAGAAATGTATTAATCAGAACGTTTGATTAGTATTTATTGATTACTGTTAAGTATATGAAAAGATTACAAAAAGAACAGCTGTTTGATATTTAGACAAAGTATTTTAAATCGCAATGCTTAACAATAATTATTCTCGAAATTTTCCAAACAAAATTAATCACTGAAGTAAAAATGAAAAATATGAGCTGAGCGCGCGCAAGTTCCGTTGCATGTTAAAATCTTACTCCCAACGCGTCAAAGGAAGTATAGCTTAAAAAAAATCCCCATAAGGAAGAAACTGCTTTAATATAGGCCTCGGTCTTCATCATATCTTTCTTTCATTGTCAAGCAAAATTTCATTTGTAAAATTAAAATAAAAAAGGAATGCTCGGTATGCTTATAAGTTTCTTTACAGAGTCTATACATGTATATTCTAGACGTACGTACGGAGATAAGTATGGGTTTATTTTTCAACAAAAACTTTATCGTTTGACGTACACATATTGAGCAATGCCGTACTTATCGCGCAAATTGTTTATCACTTCCCTTGATTTTGTATGCATACACATTTAAATACATTTACTTCTTTGTTTATATTTAATATTTCAAGAAAACCGTAAAACACCCGAAAAGGTCACTACACCAATTCAAAATTATATAGTTCATTAAAATTTTTTTTCGTAAAAAATTAAATAATTTTAACCACTAGGTGATTATAAAGCAATTATTCGTACGTTTACTTCTGGAATAAAAAAAAAAGGACATAAGCAGGGGAGAGCGGCTGATACACAGGAGCTGCTGAATGGGCGCGTCTTTACATTAATGAACTGGGCCGCACGGGGCAGTTCTGCGCACTACTTCGGAATTACGCACCGCTCCCCTTCTTCGCCCATTTATTAGTATAAAGCCGCGAGTTTAGTTGAACCCGTGAGCTGCATTTAGCGCAGCTAACTTATGTGTTTTTATTTAAGAAATTATGCATTTATATGAGAAGTTAAAAACAAGAATAACAACTGAAAACTTAACATATTCAATACTTTCTGTTCACAGTTATTAAGCATAAATACATATAGTTTTCTTGAAACCTGCCTGTAATTTATACAATACAATAGAATCACGACGAACGTTTATTTAAATACATATAAGTATTACCTAAGAACAAAAGCAATCAGTATTTTTTTCGAATAGTTTCAAATACTTTTCGTCCTTGACCTAATATAAATGTATATCGTACATCTGACGATCCTATGATGATGATATCTCTTATAAAACGTAACGTTACACCACATGCCTTGTATAATAATATAGCGCATCAATCGGATTTCTATATAAATAAATGTTTGTTTAACATTTCCTATCGTTTTATTGTAAATAAGTTCCTTCTATTCGCGTCATGGAATCCGAAAAAGTTGATTATTGTTTTAGTTTTTGCAAATTCCCTACATAACATAATTTATATTTATAAAACATAAGAAAGACTATGCAGAAAAAACATGTATGCCTATTCTAGTCTCTAACATTAAAAAAAAAACTGATATAATTTTTTACAGGCATATAATTACACTATTCTCATTTATTTTTTTACGATTTAATGTTTCTCCACTTATTAAATCCAAGAAATCTTTTCGATATTATCATTATTAGTATTTTATGAAGGCGTGTTATGTTTGTGTTATGGCAAGTACCACGCGCGTTGTGCATATTGTTATACGATTGTTGTATCGCTTGTGTTGATTGTTACACAACGCACGATAATTTTTCAACCAATGAGTTGTAAGCGTTGTTGTGACGTTACAGGCCTCCAATATACGCGTTTGTGTCGATACCGAAACGCAACGCATGTTTATTTTATTCGGTCGTTATATTATTGCGCGCGTCGCGCTCGCTTCATCAGTTGTAACGAAGCAATCGTTGCGGTGAGTGTTATTCGCTCAAAAGGAACGCGAGAAAGAGCAGAAATAATTTTTCGTTTCTGATTTTTGCTGGCAAAATAATGAATTTATCCTTTGCTGGATGCGGGTTTTTGGGATTATATCACGTGGGTGTTGCTGTTTGTTTCCGAACTTATGCACCGCATTTATTACTCAATAAAATATCGGGTGCTTCGGCCGGAGCGATAGCAGCCTGCTGTCTCCTCTGCGATTTACCTTTGGGTACGTATAAATGCATAATTCGTCAAACCTCTACCTGTCCATTTTTATGTACCTGCTACATTGAATTAAACCAGGTGAAAACCGCACAGCTTCAAGAATATTCGCAAACCTTTCACTGCGTCTATAGGAAATAGCACATTAAGCTAGCGCGTTTTTTTTTGACGCGACCATTAATTTCAATTACGTTACATCTATTTTGTCCGTGACTAACAATAAGTTTCAAATACCGTAATAATAAAACTATTTATAGTGTAACTTAAATGCATATTTGTTTATTGTAATATTTAATATTCTTTATAGATTAGCAGTTTTACTGCATATGCCTTATCATTTTACCAAAATGAATATACAATTAAAAGGACCAGAAAAACTAAAAGTTAGACATTTAGAACTGCTGGGTTACGATGTTGTTGGAATCAATTTTAATATATGGAATAAACTACTGACTACGGACGAAAAAATTGCTTATTTGTCCAAAGTCATATTACCAAAAAGTTCCGAAAAAAAATTGGAACAGTTATTAGAGGATGGAATTATAAATGAAAATAATTATCAAGCTATTTTAAAAATAATATTGTTCTTGAGTCAGCCCTGCTGGCAAGACACCTATTTAAATTTATTAAATCGTTGCATACTGTTGTTAAAAAACGTTTTAGATAAATTTTCTGTTCAAGAAATGCTAATAGTAAGCAATGTATGTTAATTTTTTGTTTATTTTAGTACAGTATATAAATTAAACTTTATTTTAGATCCTATTTAGGTATCATGAACCAGCCAGCATTTTAAATCGAGTACAACAGAGAAATTTAAAATTATACTATCAAATGGACGAGGAATTAATATTGTCATTGGAAAACCAGTTGAAATTACTCGATTCTCTAATTCGTTTTTCAAACATTATTCACAAACTCGACATAAAAAAAATTCTAAACGGTATAATATCCAAATGTGACTCAGAAATAAGTCTAAATGAAGTTTATAAAATCATAATGACGATTAAGCTAAACGATAAGGAATTAGTTGACCAGTTTTGGGAGATTTATATAGAATACTTGGGAAAAAACGATTATTTTAAAGACGTCGATACCATTCTCAATGCTTGTAAAAAATTATTGAACTGTGCCATGGTTTTAGAGTATCGAAATAAGAANGTAATTTTTTATCTAACATTGTATTTAATTTAATAGTCACGATGATTGTTTAATACGAATATTCAACCTTCACTAATCAAATAAACTACTGTTTCTGATAACACGATTTTTATGAAAATCTCAACATGACAAAAAATAATTATTATTTTACTTTAGTTGTTAGTATAAGTCCAGTAGTCCTTTTAGAGCTTAGAAGCCTTTTCAAAAACAAACAAGTTCTTTGTAATTAGTAATACAAAAGGGTTTTAATCTCCTAGGGCTTCAAATCGAATTAGTAATTCAAAGTCCTTGAATTTTAAAAAATATCTCAAGATATCATACTGCGGTTTCCTGATAAAATAATGAAAAAAATTAATTTAACTATTTGTCTTTTTTAACTCTTATTTTAAAATTAAATACTTGTTTTCCAAATTTATTTTTAATTGTTTAAGCACGAAGAAATGTAGTAAAATTGAAAAAGAAAAATATTAATTTATAAACCATTATTACTATTCCTAATTATATAATTTGGAAATGTACTTCCCGGATATCTAGAAAAAGCAGCATCTTGTTCGCCTAATATAGTTTTATTAGCGGCATACCAATTTACTAATAGAAAATTCCAGAATGTAATTAAGTCAATTAAAGCGTTTGGGGTATCGTGTTTTGAACATACTAATATAAAATTGCTTAAATATAAATACTTGTAGGATCTTTTTGTACTTCATAAAGTCACGTTCATTAAATACATAACTAATTTATGGCCTCGCACTAATTACATACTGTATTTATAAGCATAATTTATGTAAAGCAAAAAAGTGCATCAACTTACAAATTTTTTAACAGTATCTAATCTAACGATAATTTTTTTTATCTCATTGGGATACCTATATGTGACTATACTAGTATAACCCGTTCAAAATATACGCCCTAAAGCATAGTTCATCCCTTAATTAGACGTTTTAATAGAGCAGTACAGCGACGATAGTCGTACAAATTGTGATACACTTACGCTAGGACAATAACACATTACTATTATAGTGATTCTAGGTATCGCAATGCAGAAATAGAGTAATCTATGCACTGTTCTATTTCTGTTCACGGACAAGGATATAATGAACTTAATAAAAATAGATAAAACTGAAAAGCAGACAAACCATGATTATAATTATAAAAATTGCAAGGATTGTTTAAAAACCCATGCTACTATGGCACTCTAACCACAAAATATTGGGCATCAAGTTCAAGTTTAATCGATACCTACACCGAGACGTCCGAGTGGTATCGATTAAACTTGGACTTGATCTTTTTAGCCACACAAAAATCTTCATTTTTTTAACAATAAAAAACCATGTTGCGCAGATATTCAATCCCCTGCCCGCATGTGGCTAGAATAGTCTTCTATTACTTTGCCTCCTCCTTACAGAACCATCTAGTTATGGAATTCCCCTTACCTAATACGTTCCCAGTGTACATCTACTTCCATATGAAATATTCAAAAAGTTGTTAGCAGACCTTTAGTTCTTTGTGCTTAAAAATGTGCTTACAGTCTTNAATTCAATATGTATATATATATATATTTATCAACTTAAAAAATGCAAATATTTAAATATTAACAAAAAAGAAAAGAAAATGTCAGTCATTGCTTCACGACAATCGGTAAGAGGTCATAGAACTCTCGTAAAGTTTTAAGGTCATGCTGTTAAACTGTTAAGGTCAGTTCACAATATCCAAAGAACAAGTACACAACATACGAAATACATGCATATGAGTAAATATTAGCAATTCAAATTTTTTATTGTTTTTGTCGAAATTAAAATTATTGTCAGCATGTACTACATAATATTTACACATTCATTTAGCGAAACTTAATACGCCAGCAGCACTCAAAGGCTACATCAATACATATGTTCGTCAGTTAAACACAAAAAAGTGTCATCATCATCATCATAAGGTCATCAGTCCTAAGACTGGTTGGACACGTACCTCCACTTTCCTATCCTGAGTTAAACTTCGCATTTCCCTAAAACTAGAACAGCCCACATCCTTAACTATTTGCGAAGAGTAATCTAATCTAGGTCTACCTCTACCCCTCCTAACTCCTGTTTCTGCCTCTAATATGTCTCTGACTAGACCTTCATGCCT